GGCTGAGCAGGTGGAAGCCTGTGGTGAAGAGGAGGAGGAGGTAGTCTGCCGGTGCGGTGCGTTCCACCTTCCTCTCTGCAGGCGTCGGGGAGATGTGCAAAGTAAGTAATAACATAAGGTGGTGCCGCAGCTGTGAAAACTCAGAATGCACCAAAATGCACCTTTGCTTTCTGGGAAATGAGCGCAAAACCAACTTTGGAAGCATTAAAACAGTGGCAGGTGGCCTTGCATCGCTCCCTGTGTTGGGACTACAATGTGGATGTCTGGCCTTCCTGAGGTCAACAGCCCGTTTATTGTGCCTTTGTGTTTCTTCACTGTCACAGTAAGCCTGCCCAGAGCTCTCCACTTGCAGAGCATGGTGCTGGACCTTGGTCTGTGAGGAAGGCAGGGGGGTCTGCGAGCTGGCAGTCCCCAAGGTGCACAAGAACTCTATCGCCCTCTTGGTTTTTAAGAGCAGACTGAGCTGGTGAGCATGTACGTTGAAACAGGAACAAAACAGAAGCAAATATGGGAACTTGGCAAATGCAGGATATATCCTGAAGAGAGAGATACAGTTTTCTGGAAAGGTGAACAGTATGGATGTTCTGGTCGTAACTTGCCATTCCATAACAGTAGATTTAAAGCATAAGAAGTATCTCAATAAAATACATGAACATGCAAATGCTTCTTTTTCTGATGCTTACCTAAGGTGTGGCCTTAAAACATGCTGGCCACTGTGGAAGCTCCACTTCCCAGCACCCACCCCTACCCCCCCAAAAAAATCCTACCTTTACCACAGAGAAACTTTCTGTGGGGTGCAACATGGGCGATTACAGTGTGAGCTATTTGTGGTGAGTTCACGCCCTTCCTTACCTTGCAGTGACTTGTTCTAGTCCATGCCCTCAACCTAGTCCTGTTACTCAGAGCTCTGAACACTGTTTAATTTTGGAAAGCCAGGGGCTTAAATTGGACATGGATAAATGCTAGGACACTTTCACATCATCCATGTGGTTTACTCATTCGGAATGTTTTTTAATTCCTAAATGTGCCAAGAAATTTAGTCTTTGTGGTGCTTATTTATTAAAAATAACTATCTTGCTCATGCCAGCAGCTGCTGCAAAAATGCAGTCTGCTGCTTTTTACATAATATAGTATTACACAGGATGTTTGTTATTTAATATTTGAAAATAATGTTCAATTAATGGTGATAGCTTAGTGTAACATTTGTGTATTGTCATTGCTGCAAAACCTGGACTTAAATGTCAAGATGATGAAAACTTGGGTTAGCACAGATTATTTGAGTCAAAGGGGTACTGGTTTCATGGGTTTGCGTATTCTAAAACAATGGTGCTTGGACAGCTTTGCCATTTTGTAACTCTGTTTGCCCTCTTATGCTGGAAGAACACGAACCCTTCTGGGTTTGGTCATCCTCTTAATGTCATCTCGTTGGTGCAGGCTTTTACATTGCTTCCTGCTCAGCTATGTCTGTGACAGTGGTTTTCGGTTATTGTTCGTGTATCTGTGAGTCCTCTGGTGAGGGAATCTCAAAATGTAACAAAATCAAGCTAGCAGTCGGTTTCCTAGGGGGCAGCTGTGAGCACCTATAGGCAGGAACACAAATCCTTCAACAACTTGTGTTTTTTCAGTATGACAGAGTTGTTTTAACTGCTGTGACAGATAAGTACTGCTTATCCTGTGAAATACGGAGGAACAGTTTCTTGTGTTTTGTTACCCTTGAACAATGGTTTCAGCAAGGAGACAATGCCAGTGACATTAGATTTTTGAGCCTTTTAAATGACCGACAGTAGGAGCAAAGGAATAGGAAATCAATGTTAAGTAGGACCCCAAGAGCAAATAATGTCGTCCTTCAGGCAGGCGAAGGACAGGCGCGCTGCAGTAGAGCTGAGCCGTGTTCAGGAGCAACCTACACGCATCACACGCAGTCAGGGACATTACTCGTGACAGTGGACTTCCACAATGAAGTATTGTTCAAATTTATCTCCTATCCTACACTTGGGGTTGAGACAAAGTTTAATGAATAATAAACCTACACAAATTTGGTGGTTTTCTTTTTCTGGTTTCCCTGAATGTTTTGAGATCTTTTTGCTTTCTAATAGAATGTGTGTAAGTCAGCAAAATACAATTTTAAAGACTGTTTTTTTTAACCAAGGAAAAGATATTTTTGTTGTCTTAATGTTTCTGTTGCTATTGTTAGCACAGAGCACCTTAATGCTGCAGAAATTACCATTGCTTGATTCCTTTTTCTTTAGAAAACATACAGATATATGTGAAGAAAAATATAAAACAGTTTGTATGATGCTATCTTATTGGAAGTCAGAGAAATTCTAACCAAAAGCATTTGCAATTTCAGAGAGAGCTATTTGCAGATTTCTCCATTCTTAGAGAACCACGCTGAGCACTTCTCTCTTAGTAGGATAAAAGGGCTTTTATGCTTTAACATTTTCTTATTCTCTATGATAAGAAATAAAGTAGCTTACAACAAAAGCCTGTTCTTTTAGATGCTTTAGAGAAGAGTATTTATTCCAACCAGCTTCACTGTTAATGTTCCAGAATCCTTCTGGTAGCAACTTTGGTAGCACTGACATAAAAAGAGGTACAGATTTTTAGATTATTATTTTTTTTAAATAAGCAATATTGCTGAGATAAAGACTGTACCCTCTCATTTCTTCAGTTGTGTTTCTTGCCCATAAAAACCACATAACAAGAGTTTTTAGCTAGTTACTGGGGGTAAGTGCCAAATCTATTCACAGAAATGCCTTCCCAAATATGCCAACTCATTGTAAATGAAAAGGGTCTGTTTCTATTTATTATGCAAGAATGACTTTATAGTTTTGCAGGTCTTTTCCTATTGTCTTTTAACCTTTACTTTCAGCTGGTTTGAGATTAAAAATACCGAGCAATGGGTCTTCTGTGCGCATGGGGGAAAACAAGCACTGTGAAATTGTGTTTGATGGAGTTGGAAAACCAACACAGATGATGAAGAGGGACTGTATTTAATGCTCCCTAAAGTCTTATCAAAATACGGGGATGGGGGCTGGAAGGGCATGTATTCAGAGCCTATAGATGTTTGAAAGGTGTCCACAGGATAGAGGATCTAGCATGAGATGCAAGGGCAGCACACAGAGGGCTGGAATGCAGCATGCTGAGGAGAACACTGTGAATGCTTTCCTAGCAGACTTGACTGTTAAATAGAAAGACCTAATGCTTTTAAGAAAATGGAATGAAAAGGTCTGTGAAGTGTGCTTTCAGTCGGAGGTGGAAATTGATTAGCTGTTTCTGAGGCCTTCCCTTAGGTATAGAATGGGTGCATGTCTTGATGAGACTGGGACAATAATAATCCTAAAGGTTTTGTCATTTATTTTGTCAAAATTAAAAATTTCAGAAGTCTGGCATCTTTCCCTGACATAGTAAGTTTCTCAGAATGGGAAACTAACCAATGAGGCCACAATTGCTAGTTTTTTTGTATTTATTTTCAAAACACTAAAGGATGCAATATTTCCTGGACATAAATTATAAAGTAGGTAGTTTCCTTTTTTTTTTGAGGTACGTGTACTGTCAACATTAACCTTGAGCAACTTTTTTCCACAATGTTTTTCTCAAAAACAAGCCCAACCCCATTGCCTTGAAATTCTTTTATTCAGTTCTCCTACAGTGAAGCTTTACATTCTTATTCACAGACAACTGGATGTTTTTCTCCAAAGCGTACATAGTTTTCACTTCAGTCAGACTTGTCTGCTCCACACCCCCATTTTGCAATGTACAGTTCCCACTTGCAGCATTTTCAGTAAACATGGGATCAATTGAGTATACAGAAATAGGTTCTTCTATAAAATTTCCATTAAAAAAATAACAAGTTTTTATTTACAAAGTATTTGCTACTACAAAGTAATATTTCCTATTGGTTCAAATATACTATTTGCTAATGCCAGTGTTCCTATTAGGAAAGTAAAACTTTGTATATGCATTTTTCTTTATATCTTTGTCAGCATTTAAAGCACATATAATACTACCACATTCTTTTATACACTACTCCTAGCCACGTACAATGTGGTAGTAGAAATGAACACTATTTGATCAGGACAAAAAATCAGCATAGCTTAATAGCAGTCTTGCTGCAAAAATAAAATTTTAGTTTATAATTTAAAGGTATTTGGAAAGAAAGAAATCTATGGAGAATTAAAAAATATGCTGAAAATTGTTTGTAAGATGAATGGGCAGCAACTTGGACTCTCCCAAAGACACAGAAGTTTAGCACAAGAAAAGGGAGAACCATTTCTGCCCAAGTGTTTGTGTGACACTTGATGCCAATATATATGTTGGGGGAGGGGGAGAGGAAAAGTAAGATAAGTGGTTTAAGAAAATTAATTAAAACTTAAGCTCCCATATAGTTAGCATCCTCATAAAATGTTTACAAACCCGCCTTTGAGTTCAGCGTTGAAAGAGATCATAAAATAGCTTTGTCCATGACTGGCCTCATTGAGGAAAAAAAAAAAAAAAAAAGAAAAGAAAAAAGTCTTATTTAATTTAAAAGTTAATGGACTTTCAAGTGGTTTCTTTATTTTAAACACAAAAAGGAAGTGTCTACAACTTACTTCCATGTCAAATATAGCAGATATTAAAAAGTGCTACTGTAACAGGGAGGAGGGGTAGACCTGCCCTTTTTATCACATACTGCATGTTGCAGCGGCTCCATAACATTCATTGATGTGTACATCGGCTTTAACTCACTGCCAAGGGATTGATCTATTGCCAGATCACTCAAGCAGTGCCAACAGACACGTACTGTTGTAAAAACTGTGCCTGTACTTGCTGGCTGGTTACTCCTGACGCGACACAGGGAATGCAAATACGAAGGTTGGTGCCTTGGTCCCAGGGCATTATTTGCAATCAGGACCTGAGCAACAAGGATGAACTCGTATCCTAGTTCTTACAGGTTTACTCAAAGTAGGATTAATTTTTTCACAGCAGGTGCCTGTGAGATACAGTGTCATAACATTTGCATATACTTCTCTGAAGTATTTTTCATATATACAGCCTGGCTTTAGAGACAGGGGAATGTGCCAGATGATACCTGTGTGATGGGCTGTGATTCAGCTGGTGTTTTTTGAGGGAAATTCTGGGAGATCCACTTAATCCCTGCAGTAGTGCAACCAAATCTACTAAGAGTTAAAGTCACATTAGAGACTTAACGAACCCACCAAAAAAAGGGGAGACTGATTTTATGGACTTAACCTTTTCTGGTCAATGTTTTAACTTTTGTGGTTGTTCAGAATAATTGTATTTGACCCAAAAATGTCAGTGGGAAGGGCTATGCATACGTGGTGTTTTTTCCTTCTTTGACTGCCTTGGTCTTATGGGTGTGCGTGCCATTTGCTGCTTCATGGAAGGCAACAAGAACCAGCCAGTGTTAGGGATTAACTTTACTGTTTCATTCAGTCTGGATAATGAGAATAGGCTAAAAACGAGTCACTGTTAAAGACTGATTTTTGTCTTGGAAAATGTTTCCTATATACTGCATAGGTGAGTGTGATTTACATCTATAACTGGATTTAGGTTTCACATAGCTGTTTCCTGCTATCCCATGGTGTTCATATATCTAAAGCGCCTATGCCTGGAAAGTGTTAAGCGTTTAAGAACGGCATTTAGAGAAGTCAGAAGACAAAGCGGTTGCCCCTTATTCTAGCCTATACAGAACACTAAGAAGAGATGCAAGTCTGGGCTACTGGGAGGTTCCTGTATCTGCTTGGAATTATCATGGCCCTCCTACGGATACTGATCTGGCCCAGGTCAGCCTGCCTTCCTTATTGGATGAAGCAAAATTAAGTTATTAATTTGCTCCATATTGTTCCTGAGCAGGAGGCTTTCTCCTGGGATTTGGATGGTTAGATCTCAGATGCTGCTTCTGCCCAATTTTGAGCACGGATTTTTGGTGTACTTCAGCTGAGGTGGATATCCTAAGTATTGGATTCTTGGGTAGTGTCAAAAAGATGTAAACAGAAAGAGAACATTTTGGTTTTGGCTGATCTTTGGGGTAGGCCAGACAAGGCAGGAGTATTAAAGATGTAGAATGACTATGCACTCTCTAAGGGGCTGCGATAAACAGCCCCATCAGTTGGTACGGTAGGACTGCTTCTATGAGCATTCCCTTGCCTGTCAGTGCCAGCTGGGTTTGGAATCCATGGGTGCCAACTCGGGTAATTAGACTGAACGAGCTAGGAAGTACTTGTATGAGCAGCTCTACAGTGACTAGAAAGGATGGCAATACTGAGCAGAGGGAAGGAACAACTGGGAGTAACATTTGTTGTGGGGATTATTTTTGGCAATATACCTGGGTCTAGGGGGACACAGTTGCTCACAGCCTCTTGCAAACACTCACCAGGCTAAATTCTAACAGCTAAATAGGAAAGAGAGAATCTGATTTGGGAACTTGGTTAAGTCTAAGGAATGAGAGTTGCGGGAAGTTTCATGACATCAGCTTTTAGTTATGTGAATACCTGCCAGCAGAAAATTAAGTATTTAGAGCTGTTAACATGCTTGCAAGGGTAGGAGTGTGATAATCAGAAATTATGAATTATTTATTGGCACATTACTTCTAGACATAAGTCAGAATTCAAGAAGTAGCATGTTTTAAAAAACAAAGACTCAATAAACAGACCAACAGTCCTTAGCCTCTTCCTTGTTCATCAGTAATGCTGCAGCAGGCACTGCTTCGCAGTGCTTGAAGGTTGAGATGCTTTCAGCCATAAAATGTACCAGGCTTTGGAGTAACTCAGCTGCAGCATTTCTTTCCTGAAAATTAAGCTTGTAGTAAGCAGAAGGATGTCCCCTCAAGGTATGGCGAGTACTAGGATTTTTTCAATCAAAAATTTAACAAGCTCATGTAGTCTTTTCCCAGCTTTGTTATATCTGGTTATTTAAAATACTCATGTTCCTGAGAGACTTGTAATGAAAAGATGTGTTAGGTGGGTCAGTCAGAAGAGAACTTGTTTTGGTTTGTGTACTGTATACTATACCCTGTGGTTACTAGCTTTGTTTTTACATGAATCCAAAACCCAAACATCTTTAACTCACTAAAAGGAAGTCTTCTCAAAAAACTGCCTGGATTATTTTCAGCTGAAAAGAGCCAGTTAATTAGAAAAATGAGTATTGCCTAGTGTTCAAATGTGATTAAATTTCAGCCGTGCTCTTGTATTAAAATGGTGGAGATATGGTCAGAAGAGCATTTGACATTTAAAACCTTAACTGTGGAATTCTAAACTCAAGCATAATTTTATGTAAGAACTTGAGGGTTTTGTTTTTCTTTTTTTAAAAAAAAAATAATTTCAGTTATTAGACTTTTTTACATGTTTTTTTTTTAATGTGCTTTTACATTAGGCCTTTTTACAATGTTACTTTAGGCTGACTTAGTTGATCAGCACAAGTCGTTCTGTGGGTATTCTGTGTACTCGGCAATTGCCAGCAGCTCAAAAGAATTATGAGTATTTGCAAGTTATAGTTTAAAAAAACTAAACAAAACCTTTAACCAAAATGGAAGTGCCTACAGTGTGGCTTGTACTAGGTTTAAGGAAGTTAGTTAAAATCATACCTTCAGTTAAACTGGTATCATTTGCTTTAGACTTCCCTTAAATATACACACTTTCTTCAACTAGGTGGGTTGTTGCCATTAAGTCCAGTTTGAAATGAGAAGACTGGCACACCTTAATACAATTCTAAAAAACAAAATCCACAAGTAGATTCCACATAATAGAAAAATGCTCTCTCCCACTGATATTTTTTCATCTAGTTTGTGGTGCTGACAAGTTTTCCTAAGTAAGTCAAATTTAGATTTTTCAAGCATCATGAAGTCCAGAAATAAAGCTGTTTACTGCAATATATATATAAAAGTATTGATACACAGCATTACATTGCTTGCAGCCAAGTGCCTTCTGACTGTATAACCAAGAAATAGCGTTCCTAGACAAAGAAACATGTCATGCACGAAAATTTAGATGTTAACTTTGTCTTATAAGCGGTACCATCTAGTACCAGTTGCTACTTTTTTCCTCCAATGAATGTCAAGGGTATTGCACAAGACGGGGGAGGATGATGGTAACTGAATAGAAAAATGGGAAAACCAGTCTTGCTAATGATGATTTTATTCTGGAAAGTATCTATCTGCTGCTGGTGTTCAGAGGGCGGGGGGGGGGAAGGCCTGCATGTTGAAGCAACTGAGCACAACTACTGCCATTAGCTTAGTGGGAGCTGTGCAGTTGCTTAATATTCTCAGTCCCTTTGTTACTCATAATTAGTCAGAGCTCAATTCAGATGCAACAGCTGCATTTTGTGTGGTCCTGTATTTACCTGTTTTGTGGGGGTTTTTTTGGTGTTTTGGTGGTTTTTTTTACATATGTCAGCTAAGATCAACAAGAATGATTGAAAGGCTTGTCTGAGATCATACATGAGTGACTATGGCTGGATAAGGCCCAAAATTCTCCTAGTTCCCAGACTTTAGCGTAAACCACAGGACCGCAGTGCTTTAGTTGAACTTCATCCTCAACTGGAACTTGGCACAAAGAAGCCCAAGGAAAGAATTTCCTTTTGAAGTTTTTTCTAAATGTTCTAACTTGTTTTGTCCTTTGTATTCAACTAGTTCAGGAAAAATAACTTCTAAAGTCTTGGTTCAACTGTCTAAAATGTTATGTGCTCCTGGACTTTTTTTTTTTAAGTTGATAGCTTGAAGTTTACCAGAAAGCAAGACGTTGTGCCGTCTGCTGCTTTGAAGGACATGGACATCAATGGAAGGAAGATAGCACTGGAGATCTTCCTCCTGTAAAGCAGCAAGCACACTGACTGCTAATAAAATGCATTCAATTTCTGGGCAGGAGGTGTTTTTGTCAGGTTCTTATAGTTCAAAGTGCTCCTCTTTAGGAGTTCAGTGTTTTGCTGGTTTTTCTTTTTACACAGATCTTGAGTAATGTGAAGAAAGTGTAAAGTTGAATGTGCCTCTAATGTATTGAGGAGGAGAGAATGGTAAATTTAGAAAACGTGCCCCTCTTGAAGAGTTCCTTAGGATCCTGCACGTATTGGGTATCTTTGATCTGCCCTCTCCAATGACAGCTGACTGACAGACAGCTTTTGAAAAAAACAATGAGTTTTTAACAATAAAAGCAATTATCTGCTTAAATGAAACGTCATTTGTGAAGCTGACAAGTCCGTCATAATATGCCTGGAGTGTGTTACCTTCTCCTCCTTATTTCAAAAGTGAGCCACTTCAGTCAAGTATTGACTTGCTCAGCAAGAATATAATTTTGTATTTATAAAGCTTTTCTTCATGTAGAGGTAGTGTTACAGATTTGGTTGAAGTGAGGTGGTGTAAATCCCTCAGTCTGCTGTTGCCTGTGAGCCATGAGCACAGGACAGAAGATATTAACAGTCTTGCCCAGAGGGTGAATAACATGGTAGGCATGTATAAATTATTGTAATTTGTTTATTTGCAACTCATTTGTGTAAGCTGGATAGCTCTTGACTGAGCAAGTAGAGCTATACCTAAATAATGGTGCCGCCCTAACTGTACCTCAAATGCAGGAGTTCCAACTATCTGTGAAAAGTTTCTAAATTTCTAATGCAATATGCAGGTGTGCTTGTATGCTCCTTGTGGTTTTACCTGTCCTGTGGGTAGCTAGTGGTCTGCTAACTCCTGTACAACAGCCAGGTAGCTTTTTAGCTGGAGCCTCAGTTTATCTCACTGCCTCAGGCTTGGTGCTTTTGCATCTTGTCAGCTTGAGTGCAGGCTTGTCTGTAAAAGATTGTGTGGACATACCCCACGCTGTGCTGGAGCAATGGTCACAGCAGTCAAGGGACGCAGTTTGCTGCCTTTGCTCAAGCAGATGACAGCATTACAAGCCGCCTTATTGCCTAACTAAAGAACAGAGCCAATGTGGGTTGAGCTCTGACAGCTAATATACTGGTACTTAGAAACAGGTCGACTATTTACATACAGTATAAAAACTAAAAAGAAGTAACACTATTTTAAACTGGTTTTACCGAATTAAAAATAGTTAACTTTGAGACTAATTAACGTACTGAATGTTAGAACACCATGGGAAGAGTACCTCTACAGTGTATTTTGCTCTGTTATTCAAGTTTTTCTTTTAAAAAGGTCTTTATGATTGGATGCGATGTTAACTATAGAACACAGAGCCTCCTGTTGCAAGTCTGATTTAACAGCTCAAATGGGATTCATATTGTGTAATTTTAGCCACAAACTGTTTTAAGTAGTGGTTCAATACTACTGTTTTTCAAAGGTGCATCAAGGTGACTGCAACAAATTCATTTTCAGAAAGTCAGTCTATCATAAGCCAAGCTGAGTAGAATGTAAAACATGAAATATTGTTGAAATTTATTTTTTTTCCTAAGAACCTCAACCTCTGACTTAAAAGTTATGTGACCTGCCCACCCTGAATTTGAAAATACTGCCTTAAAAACATGCTGCCTGAGATCCTTAACAGAGAAGCCTTTTTTTTTTAAAAAAAAAAATTCAACACATGCTATAAAATCAAAGGAATTATAAAGTTAGAACAGTAAAGGAGAAGCTATACTGGATACACTATAATCTAGAAATACAATTTTTAAACTTCCTTGAAAAAAGCTGGTGCAGAGAATACTGCTGTTTTTATCCTGACTGTTTAATCATGGCTAAGAATAATCACTTATTTATAATAAATTAGGTCTGCAGTATAAATGAACATATGAACCTTTCAAAAGAGACATATTATTGTTAAAGTACCTAAATTGGATTTAAACTATTTCAAGATTCCTTTAATCACTTGTGATTTATATTACTTTTAAGAATCTTCTATACAGCAAGTCGAACAGAAAAAAGCAAACACTCTAACAGCCCCTTTTCCCTAGAACAATTTTCATATAAGATAGTTTTAAATAGCTATTTTAGCACATTTACGCGTGCTCTCTCTCCCCCTTTTTCTAAAGGTAGCACAGCCAAAGACAAGGCAAGAACTGGCATTTGTTGACTCTTTTCTTCTCCATCTGGTAAAGACAGGGGGAAGACAGAGACTTGAGACAGAATGTCCCAGAGTGGAAAATGTGAATTTGATGTTTACTTTGCCAGATCTCCAGGGACTTTGTTCTTTTCCTTGGTTACAGTTGATAAAACCCACTTTGCTCTGTGTCCGCATGTCGCTCTGTGTTCAGTTACTAAAAGTTTTAAATTTCAGCTGTGGATGAACTGGTTTTGAAGCTTCCATTTTGCTTCACTGAACACAGTGCAAACCAAGGCAAGAAACTTGAAGTAAAATCCAAACAGGAGCTCCTATTAAGAATATTTATGAGCAGCATTTTGTATATTCTATTTTCTACTGTCCTTATTCTGGGGAGGAAGAATCCTCATCTTCATCCTCTTCATCTTCATCATTGAATGAGCATGGAGTTTCTCCCCGTGATTCAGAGTAGCGCGATGTTGCACTGCTGGACTGTTGACTGCTAGGGGCGAGAAACTGCCCGGTTGCTAAGGCCACTTCAGCATCCAAACACAACCCTGGATTCTCACTAACAAAACAATAGAAATGTCAAAGTTTAGTGGATTTCTCATGAAGTTTTAAGCTTTCTTTTTGGCCTCAGCTTTTCCTTTAGTTAAATAAATGCTACCAACCAGGAAAAATCCAAAAGCTTTACATTTAACACAACTAATAGTTATCAAAATGCTAAAATATTGGGAAGTTGCACAAAAAGATTATTGGTTGGCTTTTTTTTTCATAACCAACTAGTATAATTGCTCAAGCCGAAGAAAGCTTAAAGAAAAATAAATCTATCACAGTTTTTTCAATACACAGAAATGTTTGCAATATGAAATTAAACTATTAAATGCCATGAGGAAGAACCTGTTCCAGAATAATCCCTCCTTCCATTTTTTAAGGTACCGGTAACCTCCAAGTAAAGTATGGTGGGTGTTTTTTGGATTGGGTTGTTGTTGTTGTTGGTTGGTTTTTGTTTGGTTTGTTGTTTTTTAATTTAAAATTATGATTAGACTGTGTGGACTAAACTTCTTTCATGAGAGCTTAAGCGGTAGTACATTTAGACACCAAACATTCCTTTGTATTCTTCAGAAGTATTATCGGGCTTTTTTCCACATGTAATTACCTACTTGTAGTCCATGCCCAGGCAGGAATTTAAGGTTAATCAGGAAAACTCTGTCCTTATAACAAGGGCTTGGAAGTGATTCTATTCTTTTGAAACATAGACACAAAAGAGCTAGTATGTTCAAAATTCAAAGCATGTGATTTGACCTTTCAAATGTAATTATCAAGGAAGACAGAATAAGAGACTTTTTCACAATCAAAAATCAACCACAATAGAAAACATCTCATTTCCTGCATGTAAATGGTATAAGTGAGGTTACTGAAAGTACAAGCATGTATCACTATCCGTGAATAAAAAATTATTTTATTTACCTTGATTTAGCATCAGAAGTGCCTCCTGCTACCTCTAAATGTGAAACTGCTTGTGCTGAACTTGAAAGTAACCCTTGGTTTATCCATGAAAATCCTGCTGACATATCTAGAAAAAAGCATAGTTGTATTTATGATAGTTACTTACATTTTTTTCTTGCTTTTACAATTTTAAACTTTGCGGTCAGGAGCCCTTAGTTTAGAAGAGAAAGTACGAGTAGCTCGAGTTGATTTAATCAAGATGAAATTATATATCTATATATCTATCTCCCCCCAGTGTTTGTGGCTGCACTCATGCCTTGCACTCACTGATGCTCAGAACTGTGGTTATTTTTATGAAGCTTTTCCCTCTGTCTGAAGAGAATTCATGCTGCGAATGACCCTGGCTAGCAGCTGTATGCAATCACAGGTACACGAAGTAAAGTTTTGGCGTCCTTCACGGAAACTTACTGCTACAGATTGATCCTATCAAATGCCCCAACAGCTCTAAGTGCCTTTGCTGTTGCACTTGGTGAAGGTATGAATGGAACTGTACTTGTCAGTTTGGAGATCCTGCAATGAAGCCACCAAGGTAGGGTGCATTTCAGTTGTGTGTGTTCTGATGGCCAGAGGCACTTTCATCTTGGCGGTCTCACAGCTGGCTGTAATGCAGTGTCCTAATCCATTCTGATGCTGAATAGAGGGGGCAATCAGCTGTGGACGTGGTCAGAGTATGCCAAAGGTCTTGTGCCAAGAGTATGAGAGAGAGCACCTGCTTGTTGTATGCTGCACATGTGATGTGCAAGTCAGTCCCCTCCCTAGGACAGGAAATTTTAGGATTAAAATGGTCTTGCAATAATGCTGAATTCCTTGAGGTAGTATGTTAAAAGGCCCCTGAGGGATGTGAATGGGTTACTTATAACCCTCGTAGTACTTGTTTTCAAATGCCCTAACAGGTAATGCCTGCCAGTTGGTTCCAGTTATGCACGTTTCTGCCAGGAGAATCAGCAAAATAAGTCTATTGATCCAATTACAGTTATGGAATTTTTTGGGGGGGTTGGTGGTGGTGGTTTTAATTTGTTTCTTAGATGAGGTGTTTCTATTGACCTACCCAAATTCCACCTCAACACAAAGTTAAAATCAAAATACAGTTATCAGGCCTGGCTAGTTCTTTTTCATGGTGCTCGCATGTGGTTCCAGCTGCATGCATTAAACCAGGAGTTACAGTCCTTACTATTATTTTCTATGCCTAATCAAAACCTCTGTTCTGCATAGCACAATGGCAGTAAAATGGGATTGTACTACTCATATTTTAGCTAGAATAGTTCTATAATAGCAGATAAGAGGAATAACTAAATGTGTTTGTTACATATGCTTTCTCATTTGTCCTTCTGTGGTCTTGTTAGGCTTTGGCTCCTTGAGATTGCACAGTGTACTGCCTAGCACAGGGATGGTTTTAAGCAGATTGTCACAGCCATGTGAATTGGCTCACCACCCACGGGGATTCACAGGCTTCCTTGTTTTGTGCTGTGGAGACTCGTTAGCAGTGAGGTATTTAAACAACATGTTACAAAGCGAGGCTAGCAAGGTTTGATGTTCCTGCCAGCAGTGCCTTTGGAACGTGACAGAACACACTGATAGGTAAGTGTCTGCGTTAGGGTGATCTGTGAGGACAGAATAGAGGAGAACAGTTGAATATGGACAGAGCTGGATGGCTTTCATTAAGATTGCCCTAAATGGAGGTTTGTTTTTATAGCAAACGTGTTCTGACAGTCTCCTTCCATCTTTGCAGGAGGAGGCCAAACCATTTTGAATTGTATTTAGCTTAATGAAGTGGATTAGAGATACATCACAGTGTTGTTTCCTGGTCTTTTGAAGGGGTGTACCTGTGTGTACATGCTTACTATTCCAGAAACATAACAAGTCACTGCTAGTAATGGTGTGTTTTATTAACATTTTGGGATAATAACTAGTCAGCTTTTCTTTTTTGAAAAGCAAGGGAAGTATGGATTTTACACGTAAGGCAGAAAGAAGGTTCATAGATGCATATCCCTGCCTTGTACTTTCCATTGACTTGCATTTCTAAATTCTGTTTTCCAGTGGGCTCTGAGGAATCAGGGAAAAGAGGAATCTTGTGAAAGATGGGGAGTTTAAGAAGCCATTTCTTGTATGGCAAGGACTGTCAAATTAGAAGTCTGCCTACAGACTAGAAAACAATTCCTGCTTCTAGCAGAGTAGATAATACACTTATGAACCAGGGAAAGCATCTTCCTGAGGTGGTACAGTCCAGTCTAAGAGCGGCATCCTTATAATGAACTGGGTGTATCTTGCAGGAGACATTCTTGGTAGAAATTTGTACTTTACACGAGAAGGCTCCAGAGGAATACCCTCAATAGCCTTTAGGAGTTAATGCAAAAGTAAAAGTGCTGCATAAGGGTTATTGCTGACAGCTGAACAAGCTTGTTCATTCAGTGGGTACTCATCTCTTCAGTTCCAACTCCAGCCGATTTTCCAGCCAAGGCTTGTTATGCAGGTAGGTCACAGAGCACTTCTTCATGCAGGGAAGAATAAAGAAGTGATGTAATCTAGAGGTCCTAAACTGCACTGCGTTCTCTACCCACTGCCTTAGTGGGATACTTGCAAGTGCCTCAGAATCTGTATTTCCTGCTTTTTAAATCTGTAGTCTCCTTTCTAGGAGTGAGGAGCCAACTGACAGAAGCAGGACTTGGTTTTGCATTAACTGCCTGTAGTATATGCATGACTTAAAAGGCACAGGATGTTACTTTGGATATGGTTCTACAAGAGTTTATGCTTGTCTCCAGCAGTGGTGTGTTTCTCTTCATCCAGCAATCTCACTCCCTCCTTTTACACTTGAACTGTTCTGGTTTGAACTCTTAGCTACATAGTTCTACATGCTAAATTGTCAGAAATTCCTCCGCCAGATAAAGAGCCTGCAGTCAAGTACCTTGAACCAGCATGTGAAGGGGGCAGAGGAAAGGAACTGTGTCAAAATGAAGAAATGGGCAGCAATATGTAATTAGGATCGTGACCCTGGGATGCCACCTTAGCTGGTGCAAGTGTCATGTTAGAAATAACTGCTCCTTCTGTAGTAAGAAGCTGGCAGGTACTGTGTTTGAGTGCAGTCTGTTGTATGTCCATCACTTTTTCTGGTTTACTGACTTAGCTAAAGCAACACTTTAATGTGAACTTTTACTGTATCCTCTACTCCTGCTCCCTTTTGGAAAACAAGAAAAAGTAAGGTCATGTCAATTTTGGAAGTCTGCATTGATTATGACAATTGAGCAACAGAAAAAAATGTGTTACAAACATCATTTAAGATAACAAGTAATATTTTTCTTTCTGGTGTTAATATGCATTAGTTTCTGCTGATTTCAGTGGCAGTCAAACACCCGAGGATCATACCAATGTAGAACTTACTTAAACTACGTATTAAAAATTTTTGCTAAAACATCATGAAACCTATAGAAAACTTAGCAGACTCTACTTCTATCAAATCAGAGCACTTGAAGAATGGCTAAAACCCATGATTATTGATACACACAACAGTTCAGCTGTTCCAACCACATTATTTGTCATGTTTAATGCAATTAGAAGTGGTTGGGTTTTGGGTTTTTTTTTTGGTGTTTTTTTTTTTAAAGCTCAGATGGTCCAAGGTTTTTTGTCAATTTTAAATTTCTTTCATTGAACTGGTTTAGACTTGGATTCTTCCACCTGTTTCTCCAGTCCTCTTAGCAAGCATTACAATACCAACTATTGTAAGTGTTTGGAAGCCAGTAATTACCTGAAAAAAAGATGACCAGGCTAAGTTCAAACTAACATTGTACAGGAAATGACTTACCTACGGACATATTAGAACAGGTTTCTACAGCAGTTGAGTTCATGGGGTCAGCTAATGTAGGAGAACTTTAATCTTGATTGTAATAAATTTACTCAGTGAATACATAAGAGACCTTGATTTGCTTTTCTTGTATAGTAGTAATTGAAGCTCATGTACTTAAACATGCCATCACGAGAGCTATAGAAGTAACCATGAATTCTAAAAACCAGTGATGAGCCTTCCATTTCACTACTCTTGCAGTGTTAGAAACAATGTCTAAAGACTGCCAAGGTTAAAATGGAAGTTATACTTAACTGAAAATACCTAATTGGGCAAAGGCTGGCTTTTCCAGTATTGTGCAAAACATTTAAATGTGTTTCCCTTATTTGTCAGTTACTGCCATTAGAAACCTCTACTATGCAATTCGTACTCTTTAACTGTAGATTTGTCTTGTGTAATTAAGTAGCAAGTAACAGATAGAAGTAACCTTTAAAATAAATGTACATACTCCAGTAACACTTCTGGACTAACTATTTCAGAGGCTGAAACAGCTGAATGTAACCCTTGTCTGCAAAGTACATTACTTGCCTCAATGCATTTTGAGTAAAAAATAAAATCAATGCATTCCTTATGATTACAATTCTAGACAGGTTTCTGGCTGCTGGTTTGCTACGAGCGAAATAATCCTAATCGCAACATTCTTTAACAATATGCAATCTTAGAATCTGTTTTGTCTCTTTGAAGCAGAGTACTACTTGTTTCTCACTTGCACAGGAACATCATGGTTGTTTTGCCTTTAATGCTTTCAATAAAAAACCCCACCAGCAGTGCATTGGTGTGACTGAATTTTTTTCAAAAGAAACTAAAATGAACTGCTAGTCATTAGCTTAGGCATGCAGTTTCATTGCTTAATCTTTAAAAGCTGGTTTTACTGAGTAAATAGTGTAATGACAGAGGTTTTTTGCAAATGTAAAGAAACCCTCTTCTCTGAAAATAAATTAATGCAGGCTCAAAATGAAATACAAATTTTAGCTTGCTCCTCAATACGTGGGAGCAATTAAATAACTCGCAGACTGCAACGCTATTAAAAGATGTGGGTTCTGCTCCTTTCCCCTTTTTTACATTGCTGGTAAATCATGTGGCAGATAATTTTTAGTTGAATGAACCTGCAAGGAACAAATTAAGCTATCCTTTCAACTTCTCTTTTTGGCACCAGTACAGCCTTATAAAGGCTTGGTGTACAAGTTCAAAATTGAACGAAATCAAAATATGAAATCTTAGTTTTAAAACACACAGGATAAGGGGACGAGGAAAACACAAACAAGTGTGGATAAACATAAGCACATTTGATGTAGTTTGAAATGTTAAGCCATTTAACATGTTCTAATGTTAGTGCATCTAAGTAAGTGAATTCTAATTTATATCCAGCAGTGTTTTGACATCACTTCTTTTAAGAAACTGTTTCATTCTTAATTCTCTCACACAGTAAAATCAAGAATACAAAAACACCTGTTCAGCTTCTTGACTACTTAACTATATGCTCCTTAGCAAAACAAAGTATAATTTTTAATATAAAGCCTGCACTTAAAAGATCCTGATGTGAAGATTAAATGTTGCCAACAGAAGGGAATCAACTTTAGGAACGTTTCAAAAAAAAGTAAGTCAAATGTTTGAAGTTCCCAACCTCCCTGTGTGAAAGACACAATTTTACACCACTGTAACTTAAACGAGACCAAAGCCTAGTTAGTAGAGATGTCTGGGCAACAGCTTTGTTCCCCCTTTCCTCAAAAAAGAAGGTCTGCATACAGTAATGCATTGGGTAACACTTTGTCTACAGATGAAGTCCCTCCAGAAACGTGAGAAAATGTTGGGCTAAGTTTAAGCTTTGGGTGGAGCAAGAAGAATGCAGGCTGACAATAACTAAAGGAAGTGATTACACGTTTTAGCAGCTATAGACCAATGATGCAGCGCTGAAGAGATAGAGGCTTAAGTCTATTTGTGTGTGACCTGTTCCAACAGTATAACTAGGGGAGGTAAAAGCCTCTGCATGGGACAGCTGTCCTGGAACTCTTTGGAGCCTCTTGCTTTATTTAGAGAAGCTCAGTTCTGACATGGCACCTGCTGGCCATGTGTTTTAGCTAAGTATCACTGGTTTACATGTTACTGGACAGGGGAGAGCCTACCATCCACATACTGAGAGTACACCGAGCGTTCTACACTGGCAGAGATAGGGAGAATTCTTAGCACAGCTCACCTGCCTCAGGCAAAGTAAACTGGGTCACATATGGATTACACTCAACCAGTTCAGGATGCTCTTGCTCTTTCCTTTTCCTCCTCAACTTGGGAAGAGCTGCCTTCTTCCAGTTTGTTCCGCCACACATCCACAGTTATTCAAAATTAAGACTAACTCATGGAAAAATCTGTTCTTCTTGTCAATTTAGTGATTTAAGAAATAATTTCTTTATAATGCAGCTCACTCAGAAGTTTGTTGTTATAAATGCAAATTAAGTTTACAGGATAACTATGATAAACCTTCCAAAATTAACTGTTAAACAACTCATTTATGTACCAATCCTACTAGCTCCCATATGACTTCAAATGTTACATACCTATGTAGGTTAATATAATTAAATTTGCTTCAGTTAGATAATGTTATGAATGTGATCAGGAACAATATTTCAGTGTCTTATCTAACTTACCTGTGATGTAGCCTTCTAAAGCTTTTGGCACCAGTGATTTTGCAGTTCTGAGGTCCTCAGCCGAACATTTGCCAGCCTCAAGCCCAAAGGACATTCCCATTCTCTTCAGCACCTCGCTGTCGTCATGAATCTCAAAAGTGTTATCGAAATTGAAGAGGTATTCAAATCTGCATGTAAAAGGTCAAAGTGAGATGGTTTTGAAAAGAGCACAGCTATGCTTTTTTTGCCTATTTTTCTTTTTTTTTGGCATTCACTGAGGTAAGTGTCTAAATTCTTCTTTATCTGTAAAGGGTCCTTAAGGGAAAAAAAAAAACCCCTGCAGAAATGCTTTTTCTCTTCTGCTTCTGTGACTGGCATGCCTACAGGGCTTAAAATGGCACTTTCTCAATTAAAGTAACTTTACCGCTGCAGGAAGAAAGTCTAAAATTTTCTACCTCATTAAACAGATTCAAAGGAGAAGAGGGAGGCCTTACTAAACATGAACCTTCACTTGTACTAAATCCAATACTTTTAAAGGTCACCTGCAGCCCTGTCACCAAAATAACTATTTTGGTTTTGCTTCTTTTACATTTCACTTTCTGTTCTACTGTGCAAGACTCCTCCTGTGAACTGACCTATTTACCTTGGTGTAACTTCACTTTTTTGGATGCATTTGGATGCAGCTAGCAAAGCAGTCTGTTCAGTCTCCTGTATGTTCCCAGCCTACCATTTCTGTTGCAGGACTCTGAAAAATGTTTTTCATTGCATATAGAAGTGGAAATAGTGATATAAACTTCAGTATAGCCTTAAGAAACGCAGGGGCATTGAGACTGGCCTTATGCTATGAACACAGGCTATTAAAAGGCTGGCCAGCACTGGTCCAGGGACTACCATATAAAGTTAGTTCCCAGTACCTCATTTGCTGCTGCCAAAACCTTTGTCCCTGGAAAAGCAACCCATCCATGAGATACGATCTTTAATAGATAACTCAGTGGTGGGTCTTCCATTAGCTCTCCAAGCTGCTGACACATGTGGATTTTCTTGATAGGTATTACTTGTAAATCTATTGTTTATCCAGCTGTAAATTTATTTAAGCATAACCACGTTAAAAGTGAAAGTAAGATGTGTCACTATACCTTTAACTGGTACGGTTACCTTCCTGCTACCCAGACTGGTGCAGCTGAAGTCAGGCAATTGTTTACACAAACAGGGGATGGGAGACCAGCGTCATACCAAGTTACTACCAGCAAGCTGATCTAAGTAATACCTGAACTCAGCTCTTACAGTGCAGGACTAAAGGCTGTATTTATTGATAGCTCTGCAATTCTCCTCCCGTGTGTTGCAGTCAAATACTGGATGCTAGAAAGGAGCATAACTCTTCCCCCCACCCCCCAAGTTTCCAAACAAACAAACTTACAGTGACATTTCTCCAGTACAGTTTCTAGCCACCTGCAGCCTGGGATGTAGGAAGTCCCTACCCTGTTAATAGCTATTTCAGGGTTTTCTTTCAGGGACTTGACATGGCCCTTTTTTGAACCTGCATAAAGTTTTGGCATGAACAACATCAAATGCTATGATTTCCATAGACTTAACTGTTGCAAAACCACTTACATTCTTTTTGTCTAAAACCTGTCGCTTGGTACCTTCTCTTTAAGTCTCTTAATTTTATAAGCAACTGTGTACAGTGGTTCCCTATGCCCATTCCCCACGTCATCCATGATTTTATAGACACTTGCGAATCCTCTCTCCTCTAGGCCAAAGAGTCCATCTGTTCCTTCTGTCAAAGCCTTGTCATAGCTTCAGGCATTCTCCATGCCCTCGTGTGTGTCTCTCTTGGGTATACTATGCTCTTTTCAAGAACAAGACAGTCTGTAGTATGCCAGATGGAAAAGCACTAGATGTACCTAGTTTTACAGTGTATTTCTTACTGTTTTTCCTAATAGTTCCCAGCATTATTTTGGCCATTGTTGAGAAATCAACTTTTGTTCTCATGGAATGATCTACTGGGCTGCCATCTTATTATTCTTGGCCCAGAGGCCAATACTGCGCATGCAAAGTTTGGGTTTCTGTCCCTTTCCCATGGTAAGTGCAAATTTGATCAACAATGAATTTAATCTGGATTTTCTGCTCTTGCAGACAATTCTTTCTCTAAGTACCAGAGCCTACTTCCTGCATGTTTTCACTGATGTATAGCGTTGTACCTCCAATGGTAAAATCACGTGCATTTCCTGTTAGAACAGAGATGTTCTGATTTTCCAAGTTTCTGATACATCTGTTGTGTCTGAATGCTTCTTTAAAACTAGGTATTTGGGTTCCTCTTTTTTTATTTTTTCTTTTTCCCCAAGACCTACAGCATTTATATAGAAGCACCACATACACTAAATATGTTTTTCCTGTTCAGGTGCCCCATATTTTCAATCTAATTCTTAACGTCTGCATTTTTATCTAAGACCCTGCTTTTCTTTACTCCAACTTCAGGAATGTCATTCCCAGTACACTGCTTGGCATCCATCTGCCTTCTCAAACGAAACAAAACTTGCCCAATAACCTCTTTGTTTTACATGTGAGAAATTTCATTCTGTTTTGGCTAGATACAGCCTGTTCTTGCATAGGAAAAAACTCAGAAGACACAAACCTATGTTTCTCATGATGCTAAATCCCCCTTGTATGTACTATTTTTTCCAAGCAATTGTTTTCTTTTGGTAGATCCTCTGTAAATACATTTTTGAGTAGCTAATGCTGTGATCTTATCTGTTCACTGCACTTTCTATCATCACCTGCTGTTGCACCATAAATACTGACCCACCAATACTTCATGTAGATGTTATTTGGGAGAAGAAAGGAAAACGGAAGCCCATTACAATGGTGGGTTATTAACTGAGGTTGAAACCAAGTGAAGGGCAAGCACCCGGGCTGACCAGTAACAGGGTTAGGCAGCACGAATACTCGCCAATGAACTACAGAATTTGAATTCTCCAAGCTGAGCAACCACTCTGCCAACTGCCTTATTTAGCAGATCAGTGGGACAGCGGTTTAAATGCGTGTGGTTTCTGGCACTGTTTATCTATGTACTGCTGCTGCCACTAATCAGGTGCACAAATAACCACAGTGGAAAGCTTGTTTAATCTGGGTTGTATGCTTAATGCTCTCCAGATGACAGCAACATTGAAGCTGTGTTATATAAACTGAAATATCAACAATTTAAATAATTTTGGTGTGCTCATTTTTAGTAGTAGTGTTTTCTTACAGTCTGAGACTGTAGAAGTGTGTTACACTTCTCTAGATCCCGAATGCCAGTTTAATCTCTGACAACTTCAAAGCAGCAGTTCTGAAGTTTCAGTATGAAATAGTTCAAATTCTTAACTTCAAACCTAAATATAGAGCACTGTTCAAAAGCGCAGTAACAGCTGTACAGTATGCCTAGAAAATAGGGGTATAGTTAAACCAAATCAATACTGATCCTAAAATTCCCAGCTTGCTGAACTGCAGTACTGATGGGGGTATTCCACAAGTTTTGTCACAGAATGTATTGGACTTCAGTCCAACTTTCTACAGAAGTTCAACTGTTAATAGTATGCTTTTTCGTGTGTTGGTGCGTAGGTTCCTGGAGATGGTCTATTTTTGATGTACGTTAATTGACTTGAAGTTCAGTATGGGATTTGTATACCACAGAGTGAAATCTAGAATCTACAGTATTAAAGCAAAGCCAGCCAGCTATTTTCAGCTAATAAACTAGTTGTGATCCGATTAACAGTTAACATAACAGTACCTCATACTTTCAGCCATATTTCACAGGGTGAAGAGCATAAGCACCCAGAAGTAGTAAGTGGAAGATTTTTAGATTAATATAAGAGTAAGACTATAGCAGTTTGCTTACAAAGACAATTTTTCAAATTTCTATATAATCCCCTTCCTTTTTTACCTTCAAAGAGGTAGGCGCAACTTTTTTGCTATTAAAAGACACTTTCAAAGTTGTTATCACCTCTAGGATGCTACTTTTGTGTTACATAGATCACCTTGTGTTTCTGACTAAATAGATCTATGGCGTATTAGGAGTAAGAATTCAGCGGCACTACCACATGGCTTAATTAAAAGCTTGTGCTCTCCAAGTGTATCATTTCATTCAGTTATTTCTCCTGTGCAGTGAATGCTCTTTGAAATGTCAGTCTGAAGTGCTTTCACGACAGTGAAAGTCAGCCTGTTTTAACTAGTGGCTGTAAAGCAATGTTGATAAATTTATTCTGATTACTACTGTGGGTGCATTAAATATTAAAACAAAAAAATCAAAACAAAACACACCCGAGAAGTGACAGCAGCAAATTTAAACACATAATTATTTTTAGTAAACTAGAAAGATTTCTCTCGTGTTCAAATAAAAATTCCAGTCCACAAAGAAAATAAAATTGTAAAAAACTGATTCCATGAACACTCACTTATCACTTGATATGCTGCAGTCTATAACTGTCCTTTTGCTAGTGTTGACTATTAAGAAAGGGAGCTGTATTGTTGAGTTCAAAGCTGGAGGGCCTTGATTCTGTTGTTCATTTTGCTGATTTCTTTGCACCAAGTTTTTGAATGCTATTTGCTGTAGAAAGAAAGAAAAAATGATCATGGACAACAAAAGACATCAGTGTTTCCAGAGAGTGGAACTGCATAGCTCTCATTTACCAACTCTCAGTATCTCCAGGTTGTGGCCTGACCTCCTCTTTGCACTAGTGAAGCTCACAAGGAACAGAAGTTAAAGACAAATTTTTCACACATATCCTAATGCCCCCCTCACAATCCCTGGAGAAGAAACAAGAAAGGAGCAATAAAGTTTGGCGAGAATGGTTCCCCACTCCTTTTGAAAAGGCACTGGAGTCAGAGGTCTCCTCTCTTACTTTATATGCATAATTACCTCATACTAGGAGCTGGTTACACTGGAACAGAAGTTAACAGAAATTACAGCATTCCCCCACTTCCTCTGATCCATATTCTCTTCCCTTCTCATCTGTTGTCGACCTCTTTTCTGTCTCAAGAGAGTTAGTTTTTAAATTCTCTGGGAGTTTTTAAACAGGTGCCGTCTGTGACACCACTCGCTCTCTACTGAAATCTTTTATCTGACTGCTTCTGTATGAAACAAACTGTTTTTACGAAATGTTACTTGAGGGACTGGAAGTCAGCGTACTTACTTACTTACCCACTTTGAGGCACTACTTATTCCACTTAAGGCGAAGAGGGACAGACAGAATCCCAAAGGACTAGTAAACCATTTGGCAATGAACATAATCAAGGAAATAATGACAGCTGTAGATAGTAAGGGAGTGCAACTCTTGTCATTGTCAGACTAATAGTTAAGAGGGCTTGAGTTGCTTTATTTTCACCAGGATAATTTCATGTTACTCTTGGAGAAGCTGCTAATTTATTAGGTCAGACAGACAGAATCAGAATCAGAATTGTGCCGTAAGTAGAGAAACAGGTTTTGGTGATGAAAAAAGGAGAAGCATCAGATATTTAAAAGTTTCAGTGCATGCCTGATTATATGAAAATTATATCAATATAGTTACACTGGGAAAAAATAGTCTTATTTCCTGTAACCTCATAGAAGTTTGATTGCATTTAAATCACTGAAAGTCTGCACAGATCAAAACACTTAAGAATGCTGATAACTGTATTTATAAAATGTTACTTCATAAGCAAAGATGCATTTGAAATATATTTCTGCAATCAAAGCCAAAACTCAAGTCATCTCAAAGGGGCATGTCAGAATGTCAGAGCTGGATTTACCAACCTTCCATTCTTAGGGTGCAGAAATGTCTCTCCCCCAAAACAACTCTGTACCTGTTTACACAAGTTCAGTTGTAAACTTCATAGCTTAGAATCGAAGAGAAATTTTGCAGTAAGAACTGCTCGGAGAAGGTAACTCTGAGGGGACTTGGAGTCAACAAAGGGGACTCAGGAGTTGTTCCCATTCCCACCTGTGGTGACAAAGCTTCAGCAGAACACTTATGTAACCAAAGCCTGTGGTGCGCAGATGCAGCGCGCTGTTTGACAGTAGCTAAAAATGAACCAGAAAGTGAGGGCAAGAAATTCCCCTATTAGAATCCAGAAGGGTCACAAGTGTGAAACTTTTCTCCCTGGTATATCACAGCTGCTAAATAAATATACAAGGAACTTAAGAAGTTCTAAGATGTCAGATTTGCACTTGATAATTTCACTTCTAGAAAAAAGTAATTAAAATTAAATATACCTGCAGCAGCAGTTCTTGTAGTTGGGCTCGCTTTTGTTTTATCCTTTCAATCCGCTTCTGTTTTTCTATCTTAAAATAAAAATGTAAATGCATCAAGATAATTACTCAGTTACCTTGTCTGTTCCATTGTCCCAGACTGAGCAGGCTTTAGCGCTACCTCAGTGTGCTAGCACCATTGCAAAATTCCATACTTTCTTTATAAATAGTGGTGAATTCCATGGCATGGTAAGTAAATTGCACAAGTTTTTCCGGCCCTACACATTTGCCATATATCTTCTTTTTCAAACAGACTAATGGCATAGTCACATGAGTTTCTCCATAAAACAGGTCTGACAAACTGTCATTTATTTCTTTGTCAACAATTTTAACTTAAGAATCGATTATTACAAGAGACTGTATTATTTCCCCATCCATTCCTCCTCTTTTGTATTGTGTACTGAGTGCCCATGAGCACCAAATTAAACATTTGCCTGAGGGGGTGCTTTGGGTTGGGGTTTTTTCCCTCCTACCCTCCACTCTTTTGGAATTGTGCACGTCCCTTCCACTGTTCTCCTAGCTGCAAGCTACTGTGTGGGGACTGGCCAGGATCATCACCTGCATCACTGCAAAAGTGACCTCCACTTTTTGTTTGGACTACTCATTTGAGACTTGAATAAACTAACCAGATTTCAGCAACAAAAAGCGGGGTAGAGGTATCATTATCTACATGAGCTCAGAATCTACTTCTTGGAACAGTTTTGTTAATGCCAGTCCGTGGGCAAAGCATCTTCAACCTAAGTACGCGGTGTGTGGAACAGCACCAGGACTGGATGCCTACTGACGTCGCAGATACAACCAACGGGATTTTAAACGGTGTTCTGGGGCAACACTAAAGAACTGGACAGTAGTCATCATGTTTAAAAGGTATTTTTCCTCATCATCCTGTTGGAGCCAGCACTGTATCACTGCTCCCCAAAACATTAAACTCTTAAATTACCTTTTCATTTAACCACTGGAACTAAATGACACAGTCTCTTAAAACTTAGCTGGCTTAACCCTCCCTATTTTATTTATAACGTTGCTTTGTGGTGGTTGCCCCCAAGTGCACTTTAAAATGCACACATTTAAAATGCACAGAGCACAGCAGATGATTGTCTTTGCAGGCGCAAATATGTAACTCTTAAAACCAATACTGTTTGTATTGGTTTGTACAAAAACAATTTGTACTGTTGTACAAATATAATTTAGACATGGTTTCTATATAACAAGCTTTTTTTGTACTCGTGTGTCATTTTTGTACTGGTAATCTTATTATGGAATTACACTGTAAGAGTTGGTACTTTATACAGCTTTAAAGGCAAAATTAATTCTGATTTTCACACCATGAAAATGCAGCTTTATTTTCTATTATGTCACAGGAAGCAACATTTTAAGAAAATATGCCTGGCTTCCATTTTGTGCATATGTAATTAGAGCCTGAAACAGTGAATAGCATATGATCATTGCAGATGACACAATGACATTCAAGTTCCGTATTTGTAACAGTAACCTACGCTTAAGATCCTGCATTCACATGAATGCATGTAATATGTAGATTTATCCATAATTTTTGGAAAAAAAAAAGAATGCTGGAGTATAACAGCTGAGCATACTGCTTGGGCAAGTGTATTTTCCAAGTTGCTGTAATGGACAAGGATAGTAACAGCTTTTTTCTTACCACATCTAGGAAGACAATTGGCGTAAATGAACCTGCACAAGAAAAATGGTTCTGTACTGGAAAGGCACCCCACCAACCTTTTAGGATATCTACTGTCACAAGTATCACAATATCATACGTATTCAGATGTATTTACAGACAGTCATTACAGCACTCTGCAGTAACTACAGTAACTTCTGCTTTTTATTTACAGAGCATTTAGCCTGAAGGACAAGCAACATTTGTGCATTTAAATTCTGGCATCCCTGCAAAAACATGGTAACTCTTAGCCTGCTGGAAAAATAATGGAAATAACCAGTAAGTAAAACTCTGTTTTTTTCCCTGCCAGTTTATAACTAGTATTTGACATCCTAGCAGGAATCATTTTCCAATTTAATTTCCTTTGAATGGCATTTCCAAGTACAGACATTAACAGAAAACTGGTCTCTTTTCAAACGTATACCCTTTTGTAAGCATAACTGCACCATAAATTCTTTTGTCTTTCTTCTGGTTAATTCAGGTTACTACAGACTCTAATCTTAAAAGTAATCCCTGATTTAATCAATGTCTGCTTTTGTAAGGTAAACAGGTGGGTGGGGTTTTTTTAAAGTCTGTGTAGCGTATACTAAATAAAACTAAGCATAATATACTAATGAACTAAGCATACACAAGCATATCCTTTCAGCTTATTCAAATACCAAAAGTTGTATTTTCAGAGTGTGCAAGAATCAAACCCAATCTGGTTCAAATAAAGAAAAAAAAACCCTGTTCTAAAGTAGAGTGGCTCCATTATTGCAGCCTGTGAACTGTATTTCCCGTCTACCTCAGTTTACCTCTAGATTCTGACATTCCTGAGCTGAGTTTGTAGGGAGGCCGATCCATCTGATTTCCTTCTTCTCCTTTGAAATTATGTTCATTGCCATCAGGACATTAAGGGCATCATAAACTCTCCGTCTAATATTTTTCTGATCATAAGCCTGCTAAGAAAACAACGCAGCATTAATTACAACAAAGAATTCAAAAAGGAAAAAAAGATTGAACACATCCTTCATAGATGAGTAGACAATAAAAAGCCAAAATGGCAGTTCAAGTCAGAGTGGTGTAAAACATGGTGCCTTCATCCGTGCTACTACCTGGATACCACATGAGCGTGCTTGGTTGCAAATGGAAGCTTCAGACCTGCCTGAAGACCTGCTTGAAGCAGCAAATTCCCATCAGGGCAAGTCTGTCACTGTTGAAAAGCCTGACAAGACCACACCTGGTGGCTACAAGAGCAGCCTTTTTTTAAAGGTTAATTCTTTTGGCAGACTTCTCTGGTTTGTTTATCATTTAGAGGGAGTTCAATTCTTCATTTTGATTCTGTATTTTTACATTTCAGAGGACAAGCCTTTGTATTTGTTAAGTAAGTAAGTGAAGGAAAGCATGGAGTGTGGCAGGACAGTGCAGAAACAGAAGGGACAGAATTCCATGACAAACCAGGCAATTTTGTAATGGTATGACAAATTTCAACACATATTTGCTTACCGAATCTGTAGCTAGGTGGCTGTTAGAATTTGTGAATTCCGATACCAGCTCATCAGCGACTTCATTGTAAGAAGTTGTTCCTTTACGTTGAACTTTTTCACATACTTTCATTGAAAAATGCCTCAGACCCTTCCCATTTTTATCTCCTTTTTTGCTTCTCTTACTGGAAGGAGAAAAGTAATTATTTTAATACCCTGAATGTTAATAAGCTACTTTGTTACACAGCAAAAGGTCTACCTTTTGCAACAGGAGTCAGGAGTCATGACATTACGTACTACCTAAATGAAAAATAAAACTGTTTATGCTTTTTTGAACCAGTTTCTTGTTTCTTACAAGTTGGCAAAAAAGTGTACTGCAGCCCTTTCCCCTTTCTCGGTGGTTTCTACATTGACAGTATTTGAACACATGCTACTGGGCAGATGCTTAAAAAGCTGGACTTGTATTTCATCTCCAGGTAGTTTCACAAAAGAGCAACCAAAAAAAGGGGGGAAACCTCACAGGGTGTTTCTGTGCCCGGAAGCCAGATTTACACAGGAGGGTAATTGCAAGTTTGTGCTTAGAGCAGAAAGGCTGAGCCACCCGGGTTTACAATAGAGCAGAAGATCCCTTAACTTTCCTAACAACCAAGTTAGTATCTGTGCCATTAGTCAAGACTGAGATCCAAGAATCTCTTTTGTGGAGAGTAAGTGCATATTCGTTGGGGTTTATGGTGCCAAATTAATAACTGGCAAGCATCAGGGTTATTTTCCATTCACTTTCTTCCTCCAGAAAAGCAAGAGCTTAGAAAATTATAATGGAAAAAACAGGAGCAATTGGCTTTACCACACAAGCTAGATTTCAACAGAAGCCTTTAAAAAGATCAGCTGTGGGTTTTGTTCTTTTTTTTAATTACAGTTTTACAAGTTGGTTTGATAATATGTTTCAGGGACATCTTATTTTACAGGAAAAGGCCTAGTTCTGTCAACAGTAACAAGCTAAGGAAAACATTAAAATACAAGAATGCTTTTCAAAAATTTGAATGTATTTAAGAAAACAGAACACTGGAAAGAAGGACAGAAGAAAAGGAAGAGTGAAAAGGAACACCAGATGATTTAAAAAAAACCCAACACTCCTCATCCTGTTTCTGAAGATATGTTTTGTTTTTTTTTCACAACTCCCAGTATCATCTCTAACAGCAAATGTATTTATCAGGAAGTGGTAAAGCAAAGAGAAATTAATTATAACTACAAGGAATAACACACAACATGGCTTTTAGACAGAGGAGTGAGACCTGCTGGAAGTGGGAACAGGACACCCATCTCCCTGAAGGGCAGGTCTGAAGAAGTAAAACAGGTATGACCGTATACGTAAAATACATCTATACGTTCAATAATACTCACCTTTCTGAAAAATCTGATTCTATAAATTCTCGAGTCCGCTTTCTGTCCCTAAGAAAAGACAATTCAAACTTAGATGAAAATAACATTATATATTTAGACCAACAAAATCAATGTATTTGGGGCCTAGCTGGGTGCTATGTTTGCTGTGACGTGTTTACTGAATGGGGAAAATAGCGCACACAGAGCTTGACAAAATTTGAGAGAAGGTGGTTGGGACTTTGGAGGTTGGTTGAGCTCACTGCCAGACCAGTTCTATTCCCAATTTTACCATGATTTAGGCCCATATGATTTTAGGGAAGTCACTTCATCTGGAACTACAGGAAATGCTGATGTGAGCTAGATAACCAAATCCCATTAAAAAGGAGAAGCCAAGCTCCTTTGAAAATTCCTATTTAAAATTCCTCCATGTGGAAGAAAAATACCTTTAAACAGCACATAAGATATATCCTATATTTTCAGGACATTGAATGTTTTGGTATCTTTAAACAAAAACCACGGTAAAACAATAAACATGTCCATATTAGAGCTGATGCATACAGAGCTGAAGAGAGAGAGACTCGGAAGAAGTAGCTGACAGGAATTCTGCATAGGCGTAGCAGTCACCGATCACTGCTGGTTTCCTTATTGTTGTTTATTAGCTACAGCAAGCACACGTCAGAAGGTGTATTCCAAACTTGTCTTTATTGTTGCAGCTGATACAATGCTTCACGGCGTGACCCTGCAGTTTCAAAACCAGGCCCCACAGCAGATACTTAAGCAGCTAAAAACCTGACAATGTTATGAAGGGAGCTGAACAAAAATGATGATTTGAAGACCTGTGCCATGAAACCCTGCATGTATTTGGGGAAGCCGGCCCGTATTTGGATGTGCGATCCGGAACCCATCAGCAGACATCTTCCTGCACAGACAGTGGGAGTTGGGTGGCAGGCAATCCCTGTCCATGGTGCTTACCCGCACCTGCTGCCCAGCTGGGGGCAGCAGCGCATGGAGCCGTCCCCTGGTCGCGGTGGTCAGACAGGCCGATAGAGGCTGCGTGGAGCCCCGAGAGTGAATATGCTGTTGTCTCATCTGATGTTGGAAACAATTTGGAATCTATGAAGAGGACTAAACAACGGGGAAAGCAAGGAGTCTGGACTTGCAATCCTCTGGAACTGTCTTCAGCAAGGGCTCACTGCTTAGGTTCGGCAATACCACAGACCCTTCCTCACCCCTCTTCTTCAGATGACAATATGCCCTAAGGCGTGGTCTTCTGCAGGGATCAATATTGATCGGCCAGTCTGGAGAACACCTTGCTCCTTTTTATTTGCAAAACACCAGTGAAGCTCATTGGAAATACTGTTGCTGGATTTTGACAACGTACAAACAAAAGGGTGGTGCTTCTCCTTGGTGGTGGTGGTCGATGGACTGCCAGTAGGCTCCCCTCTGGGAATCTCCATCGCCTGGGTTTGGATGGAGCTTAAGCACACTAATGGGCATTGATTCTCTGGTTTAGCAAGATGCAAACAGACACTATGGCTTTTCCCTCCTCTGGGTACTGAAAGAACTTCTGCCTGGCCTCCATATTTCACAAAATTTGCAGAAACAAAGTAGTCTTTGCAACTCCTTTTTCAAAGAAAATCAGAACTAAGTGGATTCAAAAGGTATTTGAGGAGACAAACACATACTCAGCAAAAAAACCTAAGCTTAAAAACTGCTCAGCCAGGCATGCAGCTTGCTTACTCAGTCCTTGCTTACCACATAGACTGAAGAAAGTCAAAGCACAAACATTATACTCCCCACCTCTAAAGCTGGAAAGGTACTACTGACATTCATCACCTGTTTAGCAACATTAACCCAGCTACAGAAATAAATTACTTTTTAATTTTCAGAGGCAAAACACTACATCTGTCTTGAGACACATTAGCTCAGCAGTACTGGTATTAAAAAAAAACACCACCCACAAACCAAACAAATAATGGAATACTGTAAAGATCAGATTTCCTTAGAAGAGATAAAGATAGTCACATTACTCTGGAGTACCTCAGAACCCCATGAAAACTTGTTGCTACTGTAAAATAGTAATAAAAATAGTAATAAAAATACAACATTGATTACATTCAAAATTTTCCATTAGAGCTTTATTCTTAAATGCCTCTTGAAGTGGTTTTGGATGTCTCTCCCCCTGCTGGCACCCACTGATACCCTCACAGCAAAGCTACTTGGATATACCATGAACTTAGGAAAAACCTAAAGGCTTCTTTTAGGAAGACTCATGGATTTGTGACTCTCCATTTTCACAAAGAAACAGACACTGCCACAAAGCAAAATTAAAACAGACGGTGAAGTGACTGGTGCTTGTACTTCTGTGTTCACATGCTCCAGACGTCAAAAGCACATAATACACTAAAGCGCCTCTTCCCGAAGCCATAAGCCAACATATAGGTACAACAGCATAAATAAAAGAAAAAATCAGAACAGATCCTCAAACATCCTTAAATAAAACAAAAATCTTACCCTGGGACCCAGCCAGCAGCTTCTGTTATGTGTGTCTGTGTGACCATTGTTGAAGCTGGGTTATACGGACTCCCAATCAGAACACTCCCTGAGCTGGTCAGTCTTTGTGGTGTGCTTATGATCTACGACATTTAGAAATAAAAAACACAGATCTCTTAAGGAAACAAAGGTTACCACAGCCCCAAATTCATACTAAGCATGGTACTAAGGAAAAAAAAAAAAAATTCTGTACCAAATGCAAGCTGCAGACAAAATATACAGAAAAGGCATCATCAGAAGATACAGGAAAGTAATTACAATGCCATTAAGTTTTCTAATGATTGTACCATGTTACTGTATTATTCATATGGATAAGATCTAGACAAATAGAAATAATTACCAGGCACAGCTGATAGGATCTGTACCTATATACATTTCTTTGAGAGTACGTCTAGGCAATTTCTTGATCACTGTAATCAATAAAGCCGCCTTTCCAATGGTTCTGTCTCTTGCAATTGTCTGTCTTTGGTACCACAGATGGTCTGAGCTGCAGGCAAAGTATTCCCTGCACCAGTTTCTAGCATTCACGAGATCTCAAGGCATTCCAGCAAGTTATAATACTACATTTTATTCCATAGGTACAAGGTAAAGTCTGTGCAGTACAGACAGAATTTACATTTATTAAAACCTGGTGAAGTTGTATGTACAATGATTGTTAACACTAAGACACTTGGTCTCAACTTCTAAATCACATTGAAGTTCACTCTTTAAAGAAGGTCATCAGAAGAATTTAGATAGTATTTACAAATGAAACAGTATTAATTAGTTAATCTTTAAAATAAAACACCCTAAATTATTTTTATTCCAGTGTGGCAAGACTCTAAAGCTTCTTGGACAATGCTTCTTACTCATATACCTTCTTTTACTTTTTTAAACTTTACTTTCCTTTACCCCACTTGCTAGTGACATTTTGAGTACCTACTGTGTTAAACTTGGAAACTTCCTTTACTACCTTGACTTACCCTACACCCATGGAAGTATACAGCAGACACTTCGCTTGGTATCCATCAATATTGTTTAAACGAGTAGAAAAAATGGTATCTGAAGAACTTCCTATCTCCTTAGCTCACCGAGCATTCACTTCACGTCCCTCCTGACACCACACTGTGACTACATGTATGTATTTTTTATCTTAAAGACATGAATTTATCTCACTGATTTTTGCGAGTGGATAGCTTGGCAGAAACAAGTGAAAACAAAAATTTAGGAAAACCAAAACACAGGTACAAGCTAGGTATTTACTGGTTGATACTGGAGAGCAAAAGATCCCTGTCTGGCTGCTTTACACACCAGGTGCAGGCACAGGAAAGGTATCAACTTACTGCTACGTTGGCTTAAAGGCAGAAATATTTTGTGACAGAATGATTAATTTTTAAAAAAGCTTGCTCAAGTTCAGCACTGCTGTCCCACCAGTATCAGTAATGCAGTATTTCAATTAACCATCAATCCAATCCAGTACATTTTATATCAACTTCTCGCAACACTATAAATAATGTTTATTTGCAGTAAGCATATGGTTCTGCCAGCATATGGCAGACACATGCCAGGGAGAAAAGATTTTAAGTACCTTGCATACTGAAATGCATTTCACCACATTCCGCCCCCTCTGAAGTTCCACACTGCTCTGCTGACGTCTTGCAGGTCAAACATGTCACAAAAGAGTACTGTACGTCCAATCTCTTCGTCATTTTCCCCTGACAAGCGCTGTGACAAGCTGAGGTGGCAAAACCACGTTGGGGTGTTCCCACCGCCACCGCACTCCCATCCTTCTGCCTGCCAGTGCCACCTGGGGGGTGGACACCAGCTCCCTGCAGCCCCCTGTAGCTGCAGGGGCACAGAAATGCACCTCCCCACAGCTCCTTGTTAAAGCTGCAAGCTCTTGGCGGTGGGGACACCGATGTCACAGGTATACAAATCGGTGTGATTTCAGTGTTGCTTTCAAATTCACTATTGGATGTTTGCCTGCACAAAAAAATGCTACACTGAGTATTGTCAGAGGACTAATTCCACCTCCTCTTAACAGCAAACAGTTTTCCAGTGTGCTTGAAGTAATGACATAAATTCACTGCATGGCATAAAAAAGAAAAAGAAAACTTCACCCTAATTCAGCAAATAGAGCATCTGTAGGACACGTTAAATCCCTGTCACTAAGCACTGACATTTTATCAATAATGCTTATGCTGTTAAATTTACACCTACAGACTGAATCTGAAGAAACTGTAACAGGCACCCGTACACAAGAATCCAGCCCGCAAACTGCACTGATTTCACCGTTTGCACAGCCGTGCCCCCAGGGGATCAGAGCAGCCGCCACTGTTCAGCCAGCAGCCCGCTCCACGATTGCGGGGCCGCTTGTCTGAAGCGCCTGGAGCAGCCACAAGGGCTGTAACCTGCGGGGCTGAAATAAGCCACAAACCCCTCGCAGCAGCGGAGAGGAGATGCCAAAGGGATGTTAACATTCCCACTGTTAAGAACCTGGGAACATTCTCTTTTAAATGGTCTGGGACACAACACAGCCGTACACTGGATGTCTCAGGAGACTTGTGTTAATGGCTTAATAAGAAAATGTTTTCTGAATATAGATCTATTCTTGTAAAGCAGCAGAATAAGATAATTTAAAAAATTAAAAGAATAAAAATTAAAAAGAAATAAACCAAAATGGGTGTGTCTCACCATGCAGTAGCTTTTGCAACTTCTACCTGCCTATAGAACCTAAACTGTTAAACAGGGTTCATTTCAAAACAGGGTTCATTTCAACCAAAAGCAGGGCCTTGAGAAGTCACTCGCAAGATTAGGAACTGCATTAACTGACTGCTCCCCCCTGTTCTCGGCTATTTATTGCTCTCACAAAACCAATCTTTTGTAGTAGCACCATTTCAGTGAAATGCTGCAGGGCACATGCTCTAGCAACACTCGCATCAGTACTGAGGCACTGAGGAGCACTGCGCTCTGCCAGGCAGCCTGCAGCTACTGCTTCAGATGGAGAGCTCTGCCCAGCGGAGGATGCGGCCCGGGGGCCTGGCTGCAATGCTTGCGCCCATCTGTCCAACCGGGATGAGAGCCACTGAAGAACAGTAATACCTTCTGATGTGAAAAAGGCCCACCACAATTATCTGTAAAACATATTAACTGGTTCTTGTACTCAGGCTAAGTAGTTAGCCAAGTTGGCATCAGGCTACTAGAAACAGTTCATTGTATTGCCTATTTGGTTCTCTGGCCACCAAAAACCCCCAAATTTTTCTCAAAACCAGATCCAAAATCCCAGAAACAGCAATATACTCTCATATACAATTATTGTTGACAGGAAAAGACAGTTTTAAGAAGAGTAGTTGCAACGAGTTAAACCTCTAGTGATGCATCCGAGACGTTTAGTCTTTGGCAACGCTGGAGATCTACTGGTGAGAACATGACTCAAAGTATTCAAACAGTATCAGTAACATTCTTAATGAGATTTTTTTTTTCTTAATACACTTTTGAGTAATAGTTAAAATGTCAACTGGTAAAGTTGTTTCAATTTCCATTCGAAGCCAGAAAGATAGGCATCCCCTAAGGTCCCACAAGATCGTTGTTGCCAGGGAGCGGCAATTCTGGCATGCCAAGATTGCTGTTCCCACACGTCATCACCTTTCCATCCAGGTGGGGCACTTCAGCAGCCTCTGCGGCCAAGGCAGGAAGCGGCAAGTTCCTAGCACTGCTTGCACCTTTGTTCTTCACTGTTTCCATATTACATCAACAGGAAGTCACGCAGCTAGTTACACAAGTTAGCATTACCGGAGTTGCAAAACTTACCATTTGGGGTCCAACATTCACATTGATTGGTCCTAAGGTTTTTGGCAAAATCTTAGTTGGGGAGTTGGTGCTGGAAACTGGTAATGTGATTATTGAAATATTACCTAAAAAAAAGCAGTAAAAAGAGAGTTTTAAATTACTTCCTTAGTAACCTATGAATAACACTTTGGCAAATTCTCACACCATTTTAAAGTTTTAGAATCAGGTTAGCTTTTTTGTCTCGCATACTGCAAACACACCCTCACGTAACAGCCTCCAGACCTTCTAGCAGATGTCACAAGGACACCTCACAAAACTACACCTTTGCTATTTTACCTTTAAAATCACGTGTTAGTATTTTACTTCCAGAAACAATTTCTTCTTGCCTAAGACAAAGAACACACAGCCTGCCATACCTCAGCATTAGAAGTTAGTAAGTATACTTCTAGAAAGAAGTCAGCATACAAATCCTATTTATAGTCACAAGGATGTGTACAAAATATGTATCCATATAACTTCGTAGCCTTAACCATTTGTAGCCTTAACCATTCCTCATCTGACAGAAGCATTCTTCAAAGATCAGTGAAGTAAGCCTATCAGAGCCTACCACTGTACAGATGGAGCAAATGACACCTTTGTAACTTATCAAAAGCAACAGAGCAGGCGGCTGGACATCAAGATAAAGCTGGCCATGCCACCTCTAACCCAGCGTGTTCTCATCCCAAGATGTTTATCATCTTTGTGATCCTGGACTGCTTACAGATCTGCCTCATTCTGCCTTCACACAGAGGAGTGCAGCTCTATGCTGAGGGCCTCACAAATGCTGCTGCTCCTCCTCCATTCCAAATCATATCTTGTAATCTTGATTAATTCACACTTAATGTCTTAATCAAAACTGTCACGCAGCACTACCACTGCCCCACGAGTGTTCAAACACAAGCCACTCTAAGCGGTGAACACTCACTTATCTATGGACATTGTGGCAGCAGCAGCTCCTGTCTCTGACGGTTTCAAAGCAAGAGAGCTGGGAATCGATCAATCAAATACTTCCCCCCTTTCTTATGCACAGCCTTATTCAAAATGGGGAATTACAGTGGTGGGCCTGGAGGCAGAATCAAACATAAGGAAGAGCTGCCACTGCCTCGTAATCCACAGAGCCAGCTTGGGTCTAGCTGGGGTCACGAGCTGTAAGGACAAGGATCGGCTCCTGAAGAGCTATTCACGCTCTCTGGCACTAGCAGACAGAAACCAAAGGCATTTGAGGTGACAGGTTCCTTCAGAACGGCGCAGACACCAGCCCTCACCCCTGCCCTGCCCTGCCCTCCTCCTTCCTTCCACAGGAGCCAGCCAACACGCAGCTTAGCCCAGATGGTCCTGAGCTGACTCAGTGGTGTTTGACAGCTCTGTTCCCTGGTCTTTTCTCATATAACCTGTTCTCCTCCACTGCCTGCTCTTCTCTCCTCGCTTGGTCCTGAACCATGGTCTTTTTTTTTTTTCCTTTTTTTTTTTTTTAGTACACCTGTGTTTGTCAGCAGCTGAAAAAATGGTAAACATGAAGTTCTACCACTTACGAATAAAATATTCCCCTCTCTCCTGTTTTCTTTTTTTCAAAAATAGTCATAGTCATAGTCCAGATACTCATGTGACTTAAAATGCTCCAAATATTTAATGGTGGAAACACCACCTTCCCATCCCTCTTCACAGCAAACATGATAGTTGGTTCAGTTAGTTGCTGCAAAAAGTTAATGCATTTCCAAATACATGGCATCAAGCACCCCAACCTGAAGAGACAGATTTTGCAGTCAATATCGCCAGTGTCACTACTCTTCTCTGAACAAAGAGAAATTGAACTTCCAAGAGTATCCTGTCCTGCTGGCGGCCCCTGCTCAGCAGCAGCCCTAGGCCTGTGGGACTCAGCTGCCACTGAAAGACCTGGAGCTGGCCAGGACCCATCCCAGTGCAACAAAAACATCACTGCAAACTGGAAACTGCTGACATGAGTCCAACCAGCTCAGAGAGCACACGCTTGCTTGCTAAGTTGACCAGCTGGTATTTTACACCAAATTTTTGAGCTTAGCGCACCCCTGTTTGCCGAAGAGCAGTTTTGAAGGCAAGGTAGCATTACAAACCAGCAAGCATCAACAGAACAATCTCTTCAAGTCTTATTTACAAACCAGTACAGGAAAAAGTAGGAAGAAGTAAATGTCACACTGTTTGTAGATCATCTAAAACATATTCAACAGATTTCTGTATTCAACTTAGAGCAGAAATATCACCAAACTAATTATATATACTTTATCACATAGCAACTGAAAAGGCTTTAAACATGATCAAATTCTAAATAAATGCCAAGTCTTAATAACGACCATCATTTGGGGGCAAAAAGATTACACTGAGTTATGTTCCACTGAAAAACAGCAGTGTGTACAGTGATAAGCTGAACACAAAGAGACCCATCAGCCTCCTAGTCACGGTAATCTTACTGCATGGATGAAAAAGATCAGCAGAGATGGATCAAACTAGAATGATTTGTATAATAATACTCAATCCTTATATAGCGTTTCTCGGCAGTACTTGCAAAGCACAAAGGAGGTCAGTGTCATTATTCCCATTTTACCTATGGAAAACTGAGCGCATGGGAAAGAAACCCGCTTAAAACTCTCACCAAGAGGCTTTAACTGCAATGTATATAAAACCACCACAAACGGAGCATGCTCGTCACTGATACAAATTCAAAATAAAAATCTGTCAGTGGACGTATGTATGCTTCTCTTAGAACAAAGCACTTTGCTTCTACAAAATTATTTTTCCATCCCTCAGTCACCAGTATTGTTGTTTCTCATGGAGAAAAACCAGTATTGCTATTCTTTCATTTTTAGAAAAACATGATCACTATATAACTATTATTCTTCCCGGCATTTACAAGTATTTTTACTTGCACACACAAAGAAAAATCCAATTTAAATGATATTCAGCTTCAAGCAGACACAGAACAAAGTTAGTCATGTTTATGTACATATATGCTCACATGCCCACACTAACATACCATCCCACAAGACCAACTTTAAATTGTTATGTGGCATCCTAAATAGCTTAACTTCACACAAACAACATGGACTTTTATACAAATATGAAGCTAAAGAGGTTTTAGTGATTTTTTTTCCTGTATAACTAAATCTGTTACGTCTGCAGCTTAGTCACAAAGATAATCAGAAACAATGTCAACTGGAGAATCTATAGAATCTGTCACAGTCAGTTTGAAGGAAACCATAGCTGATGGGAAGCACAGACCAACCAGCTGGGGTCTCACACAATGCATACATCAACAAAAAAAGTCTCTGAATTTTTAGACAAAACACCAGGGAAGTGTTGGTCATTTTGATTTAATATTCAGAGCTCAAACAAATGTCCACATTTTTTAAAGTGTATCAATGAACAGCCATTCTAAATAATACAGCCTATGGCTTGACGGTAATGGCAAAAAAACCCCAGTTCAGAGTTGTGAAATATCAGAAGCTCATTAGGATATTTTGCAATAACATATGCGATGTGTCCTCAGGCTCCTCTACTACACTAAAACATATATTGATCTCCAAGATCAGGATAGAGTATTTTAAAAGGATATAGAAAACTGAATTACTAACCTGCTATTAATATGCATGTATTTTCTTGGTACATTTCTTCATTTGCTTATTGCACAAACTTACTAGGCTATAAACCTAACTTTAAAAATTCCATAGTCTGCAGGAACACACACATATCTAGAAATATATGAAATCGAAGAGATCTGTAGAGGAGAAAAAACAAAATGGGGCAGACAATATTTCAGTGTACTTCAGGCTTACACTGCCCAGTACATTTTCAGTCTTTTACTGTTCAATTTGAGGCAAATTTGTAAGAGTTAACAGTTGTATGAATCTCAAAGTACCAAGCATATGCCTATTGATAACTGATTCTGTTGTCTTCGTCATTTTAGCAGATCACTTCAAGCACACAACGAACTCCCAGCGCTCTTCAGGCCTCAAGCTGGAAACCCCTAAGGCAGATATTCAGCACGCTGCCACTAAAATTCATTCATGCAGACCTCATCACCAATGCTCATTCCTGCCCGCAAGCCAGCAGAGCCACAGCTATGGCTATGCAGAGCTTGCCTTCTTTTCCTTTGGCAAGGGGGAACAATAGGTATTTTTTGGCTGAATCTGTTCCTGGGTCCAGTGAACTGCGCAGCCACCTACATAGCTATTTTGGCACTAAGCAAAGTTTAAATGTTCAAAAGAAGCCATGAGGTGACCAGAGCCAACTTAACTGGCACTGTTGCCAGAGAAGATGTCTATCAAAGCAAGCAAAAGACTACATCACAAGCAAAGGCAGAAAATGGTAAAAACGTTAATGGAAAAAAAAAAAAAAGAAAGAAAAAAAGAGACCTGCCTTACTGCTTCCATCACAGTAGCACAGGCATATGGCAGTCCTGTGCAAGTTTCTAAAACGCCAGCCCTATCAGGACTTAGTAAAAATTAGGTACTGCATTAAAAAAAGATGTATTGAAACAAAGTTAATTGTGAAGTTGTATTAAAATTTAAGACTCCCACCCAAAGCAATGTGGATTGCAATTTGATCTGATTAAGGGATCCCCCCTTGTGGAGTCTGTTGCAAGACTGGCAGTCTGGAGCTGGACTCCCTTTTCCCCCCACAGCAATAAACAGAGAACACCATGTAAATTCACAGAATTGAAGAATATAGTAACGAAAAAGTATTAAGGACAGTATGATCTACTTTATAGATTTTAAGATGACAATCAAATATGTCACTCATAGTTAACCAGTTGAAAACTGTTGCTTTTTTTCTTCCACATGCTATTAAATAACTGTCAACTCACTGTTCATAGACAAAAGTAGACCAGTACCCGGTGCCTTCACTTGGATACAGACACACTGGGTCAGCCAATAGATTTTGTTTAGGAGGCAAACAGAACGGTTAACATGTGAACTGAACTAATTTTTTACGTGCAAGAGTATTCCCCAAGAAAGGTAACAAACTATGATTTCAGTAACTTCTATTATTTTTTTTTTTTTACAGGCATTTACAAATTTAGAGTTCTTTAAATTTTCAGGTCATTATCTACTGA